TCCCCCACCCCAATTTCTCCAAGGCCCTCGTTTCTCCCCCAGGGTTCCTACTTCACGAGGGGCTCTAGACTCTCCTTCTAGCCCCTAACACTGCGATTGGCGGCTGTGAAAAGGGTTCCCATTCGGGTGAGAGCCGGGAACACCCTGGGTGTGCTCGTGGGCCCCTGGGGCCGCCTGTCACTCAGCCCACGTCCGGGAAAGCGTGTCCCCCTGGGTCGCCTGTCCTTTAATTTGAACTTCAGATTGTTGTCCAGGGGCCCCTGGCGCTGTCCGCCTGCCCTCCGCTCCCCCCAGTCTCCTTCCTCAATAGCCTTCCTCCCTTCTCAGCCGCTTCCAGGCTCTAGCTCAGGATCTGCCGCAAGTTCTATTTTTTTTTTTTTCTATGTGAAAAATAATTCGGGATTATTTTTAAGAGCTAAGAAATTTGGTGGAGTAATCACAGCCCCATTAAGCTACATGGTCATTGGACAGTGAACGGGTTAACCAAACAGGTTGGGCCACACACATTGGGAAGGTGAGAATCTCATCTTTTATTATGTTCCCTCCAGAAATGCATTGCAGGGTGCTCTTGAATGATCTAAAATAACGTACACGCGTGTCATCCGGGCAAGTTAGAAAATTACACCCGAATTCTCACAATTTAATAACAAACACCAAAAAATAAAAATTTATAGTTACAAGAATATAGTTATAATTTATATAATTGGTATTATATAAATATAATAGATTAAAAACAAAACCCTTAAAAATGTAAACAGAATTATATTTACATACATATAGCAGTTATACATCAAAAAACTGTAGAAACAGCATGTTTTCAAAACTACAACTATTTCAAATTATTTAAAATAGATATATAAATGTTAAATATAAGAATAAATATAATAATTCTATGGGCAACATTTTAGAAATAAACCAAGAAAATGTATGGGATACATTAAGCTATCACAATCTTATGGCTCTAATTTTATACTTTTTAAGTATTTCCCTGCTGTTCTCAGCCCCTAAACACCACCTTCAGATGGCTCTAGACTGCTGCAAACAAGTGTATTAAAAAACAGGACCTCCAGCTTCTGTCTCAGGAGAGACTAGAATTAAACAATCTGAAATTTTAGGTGGTGCCATAGGAAGGGATGGAACCTTGAAAAAAACCACCTGGCTTCTTATTTGTCCTTCTACGGACTCCTAGAAGTGTTCCCAGGCGCATGACTCGATAACTATTCAGCTCATTCTAGAGCATCCTGGGTTCTGCTAGATGATCTGCACAGGAGGGTCCTCTTTCCCTTCCTCACTCCTGCCATTAGCATCTGGATTGACCTCCTGCTGAATCCTCGAGTCTCCCCTGGGCTCAGCAATCTAGAAGTAGGAGAAAGAGACAGGATGTCATATTTCAAAGAGGCAACTCTCCAGATATAAAGATTTTTCAAATTCTCAGTCAGTCTAACCAGAGTTTATACTAATTTATAAATCCAATTTTATCTAGAATCCTCCATTCTCAGCCTCAGTCTTGAACCATCATTTTCAAATGTGATTCTTTGATGACCCTGAGCCCCCGAATGACTTAATACCCCCAGGGATCTGCTTTACAGCCAGGACTCAGNGTCTTGAACCATCATTTTCAAATGTGATTCTTTGATGACCCTGAGCCCCCAAATGACTTAATACCCCCAGGGATCTGCTTTACAGCCAGGACTCGGAGCAGCACACACAGGGTGAGAGCTGTTTTAGCTCACTCACACCTTAGTCCTTTTGTGCTACGTAACATCTGAACCTCTAACCACCCTACAAATATCACTGACATGTCAACATCACAGACCATGAGACCAGATGCCTGATCCCCAATCCTAACCCTGGATCCTAATGTTTAACCGTAATGACAACTAGTCTGTCTAACTTGGCTAGTGCTTTGCTCTGAATGTGTGTTCCCTAAATCCATAAATTGAAATCCTAAACCCCAAGGTGATGGTATTAGGGGGTGGGGCCTTTGGGAAGTGATTAAGTCATTGGGTGGGGCCCTCAGATTGGGATTAGTGCCCTTATAAAAGACCTCAGAGAGATGCCTCGCCCCTTGCACTGTGCAAGGACATGGTCTGCAGCACAGAAGAGGGGCCTCACCAGAACCTGATCTCAGACTTCCAGCTTCCAGAACTGTGAGAAATAAATGCCTGTTGTTTATAAGCCACCTGATCTGTGGTACTGTATTTTGTGAGAGCAGCCAGAATGGACTAAGACAGCTAGTTCACAAGATAGAAACCAAATCTTTGCTTAAGCCTCTGCCCAAATCTGTAACTCCAGCGTGTCGATGATAGGAAGCCATACCAGAGCCAGTACTTCTCACCCTTCGCTCATCCTAACAAACCTCCTTGACCAGAAACTTGAGGGGAAAATGTATAATACAAGGGAGAGATTGGTGAGCCAGGGGGAATGAAGAACACACCGTGATCCGGCCATAAGCCATTTGTTCGAAAGTAAATTTGAATGAAAATATAGCTAGTCATGATTTATCTTTCTTTTTAAAATTTAAATCCTCACCCAAGGATATTTTTTCCATTGCTTTTCAGAGACAGTGGAAGGGAGAGAGAGAGAGAGAGAGAGAAGGAGGGAAACACTGATGTGAGAGAGACACATCGATTAGTTGCCTCCCGCATGCTCCCGATCGGGGCCGGGGATCGAGCCTGGAACAGAGGTACGTGCCCTTGGCCGGAACAGAACCCGGGACCCTTCAGTCCTTGGGCTGATGCTCTAGCCATGGAGCGAAGCCAGCCAGGGCCACGGTTTATCTTTTATTGTTGGATATAGAGACTGTTTCTTCCAGTCTTCCTGTTGAGCATTAGTTTTGTTGCAGACAAGCCCCTATAGTTGGTATTCCTGGGGGGTGAAAGGCCCAAGAAAACTAACAAGAGACAGTCAAACACACTCTATGCAAAACATTGGAAATATTCACTTCTCACAAAAATGAACACTTCTAGAAACCTACGATTGGGACCGAGTTGCCGTGGTCAAAATGATTTCAGCTGAATGTTAAGGTCTGGCCCCCACAGATGCCACCGAGGTGTCTGCTTCACAGCGTGGGTCCAGACAGTGATTTCTCAGATTTTCTAAACCGACAACAAATCATTCGGCCTGCGCCTGAGGCCACAGTCCCACCTCCCCTCAGACCTACCTGAGGGCCCGGGGCCTGGGAAAGGAGAGCACGATCTCGCCCCCACACCCAGAGCTCTGGGTCAAAAGCCTGGATCTGGAAAGACAAACAGCCTCTGAGAAGACGACCCCTCTCCAGGAGGCCCCTCCCCCGCCTCGCCCAGCCCCCAATTCTTGCTCATCCTGGCATCCCAACTCATCTCCCACGACCCCTCTCTGCAGCCTGCCCCCCGCATCCCCGCAGCCCACGCACCTGCTCGCACTCTTCCCGGGAGACCCTCATCCTCCAGCCCATGGAGCGGAAGAGCTGGAAGCGCAGCCTGTGGAACAGGGCGCGCGGGGAGCGGTCCCTCCCGTAGAGGAAGGAGAAGATGGCCCGCTTCGGGGCCTGGCTGTCCTCCTCCATGTCGTTGGCCAGGTAGCTGGGGACACACATCAGGCTGCCCGTCAGGAGCAGGACAGGAGGGACCCCGCCTGAGGCCAGCTTCCCAGGAGGGACCCCGGGGGATTCTCTTCACACCGGTCCTACAGGAGCCTGATCCAGTGTCCCAGTGCCACCCAGTCACCAAGAAGCCCCTGCTGAGCAGGGACCCGAAGGGCACCTCTCGTACCTTGATGATGAAGATAAAATTCAATGGGGAAGCCGGCCCCCTTCCCTTTAACCCGTTGTGTGTGCACACACCCGCCCCGCTGTAGTGTCCGTGCCCACCCAGCTCCCGAGGGCAGGGCCCGGGGCCCATTTCTGCATCACTGCTTTCCTAGGGCATGAGTAACACAGGACTTGGTCCGCTGGCACATTAACTCAACAGCACTTCCTGAACTCTCTTCCCACCCTCAGGTTCCTGGTGCATGAGATGCCCTTTTTGAGGTTTCATAAAATGAATGAATGAGTGAACGGATGAGCGAGTGAATGAGTGAATGAATGAGTGAATGAGTGAGCGAATGACTTCACAGACTCAGTATAACTTAAACATTTGCAAACGGGAAAGAATTGTGCTGAGTGTTTGAAGAAGCCATGGTATTTGACACGACCTGCTGAGCAGGTGTCTAGCCTAATGGGACTGGGGAAGGGGGGAAATGAGAAATAACTGGAACCCGAAACATCACATTATGATAGAATTTAAACTGAAGTGCCACTGGGATGCGGAAGGTAGTGGGTCAGGGGCGGTATCCGCAGATTTTGGTGTTTGAATTGATTTTAAGTATAGGTCCTTTTTTTCAGATACATATGTGTAAAAAATATCTAGACAGAAAACACAGTGTGAAAACAGAGGGAAAGGTGTCTGGAAGAGCAGCGAAACCAAGGCTGGACTCAGGGTGGTGAGCATGTTCGATGGAGGTCGCAGAGCGCGGGATTCAAGCGGAGAGCTCTGGCCTTGAGCTAGAGGGAAATTAGCCAGTGAAACTGTGGAGGAGGGTGCGGAGGTGATCAGACCTGCGTTTTGGAAGGATATTCAGAGAGACTTGTAAGAAACGTCCCTGGGGAGCATTTTCAATAGATCCATGTCATTCAATGAGGCCTGAATTGAGGAGAAGACCCTCACGCTGGCACTGGTGTGGGCGAGGCCGGAATTGGAAAGGGTCAGTCCCGGGCCTGCCTGCCTGTCCATTCCTGATGAGGCTGTTATGTTTTCTTCTGTTCTGTTCAGTCTTTTAACTGACATTAGGGTTGTTGGCAAAGAATAGCATGAAAAACACTGTGCTATGATCCCATCGTTTTTACACACAGAGGAAACAGTACAGGTAGGTTTAAAGAAATAGCTGGAAGGCCAGCGAGCCACCCCCTCCCTCCACCCGCCAGGGCGCGAATACTGGCTGCTGGGGCTGCGCGATACTCACAGCGCCAGGAAGAAATGAATCCGCTGGTACTGCCAGGAGAAGAGGCCGGCGCGGCTGAAATAAGCTACCACCATGGACAGGAGGTACTGATGGAAAGAGGGACAGACATAACAGATTCCCACTGTGCAACAGCGGGAACAGCGCGAGGAGGGCCGGGCTGATGCTCCCCGACAGCAGGCGCTCAGGGTTTGAGGATATGCCTTTGATAAGCCGGAGCAAAGGGGAATCCCCGAGAACTGAGAGAAGAGGGGACTCGGTGTGTCAACCAGCAGAGGGGCAAGCCCTGAGCTCAGATCCCAGAGGAGCCGGGCAGAGGCAGGGCTGCTGTCCACACCGCAAGAAACCCCTGGGGCCCCGGAGGCGTCAGGCTGGGGAGAGAGCTGTGGCCTCGGAAAGCTCTCGCCGCCCCAGGGGAGATGTGGAGCAGGAACACATCTCACCTTGTCAGACACTCTCAGATTTTTGTCCCAGGCCAGGAATCTTTTAACAACAGGATCCTCTGTGAAAGAGGACATATGTTAGCTTGACCACCAGAGCAGGGCTGCCATGGGGGG